ATATATGACTAAAGATGTACCAATATAGTGTCTCTAGTACTGTGATATATCACTAAGGATGTACCAATTTTGTGTTCTTATTACTGTGATATATGACTAAGCAGGTACCAATATTGTGTCTCTAGTACTGTGATATAAGACTAAAGATGTACCAATATAGTGTCTTTCGTACTGTGATATATCACTAAGGATGTACCAATATTGTGTCTCTAGTACTGTAATATATCACTAAGCATGTACCAATATTGTGTCTCTAGTACTGTGATATGTCACTAAGCATGTACCAATATTGTGTCTCTAGTACTGTGATATATCACTAAGGATGTACCAATATAGTGTCTCTAGTACTGTGATATATCACTAAGGATGTACCAATATTGTGTCTCTCGTACTGTGATATGTCACTAAGCATGTATCAATATTGTGTCTCTAGTAATGTGATATATCACTACGGATGTACCAATATTGTGTCTCTAGTAATGTGATATATCACTAAGGATGTACCAATATTGTGTCTCTTGTACTGTGATATGTCACTAAGGATGTACCAATATTGTGTCTCTAGTATTGTGATACGTCACTAAGCATATACCAATATTGTGTCTTTAGTACTGTGATATGTCACTAAGCATGTATCAATATTGTGTCTCCAGTACTGTGATATATCACTAAGGATGTACCAATATTGTGTCTCTAGTACTGTGATATGTCACTAAGCATGTATCAATATTGTGTCTCTAGTACTGTGATATGTAACTAAGGATGTCCCATATTGTGTCTAGTATTGTGATGTCACTAAGGATGTACCAATATTGTGTCTCTAGTATTGTGATGTCACTAAGAATGTACCAATATTGTGTCTCTAGTAATGTGATATATCACTAAGGATGTACCAATGTTGTGTCTCTTGTACTGTGATATATCACTAAGCATGTACCAATATTGTGTCTCTAGTACTGTGATATGTCACTAAGTATGTACCAATATTGCGTCTCTAATACTGTGATAAGTCACTAAGGATGTACCGGTATTGTGTCTCCAGTACTGTGATATACATCACTAAGGATGTACCAATATTGTGTCTCTAGTATTGTGATGTCACGAAGGATGTACCAATATTGTGTATCTAGTATTGTGATGTCACTGAGGATGTACCAATATTGTCTCTAGTATTGTGATGTCACTGAGCATGTACCAATATTGTGTCTTTAGTATTGTGATATATCACTAAGCATGTACCAATACTGTGTCTCTAGTATTGCGATACATCACTAAGGATGTACCAATATTGTGTCTCTAGTACTGTGATATATCACTAAGGATGTACCAATATTGTGTCTCTAGTACTGTGATATATCACTAAGCATGTACCAATATTGTGTCTCTGGTATTGAGATATATCACAAAGAATGTACCAATATTGTGACTCTAGTATTGTGATATATCACTAAGCATATACCAATATTGTGTCTCTAGTAATGTGATATATCACCAAGGATGTACCAATATTGTGTCTTTAGTACTGTGATATGTCACTAAGGATGTACCAATATTGTGTCTCTAGTATTGTGATGTCAGGAAGGATGTACCAATATTGTGTACCTAGTATTGTGATGTCACTGAGGATGTACCAATATTGTCTCTAGTATTGTGATGTCACTGAGCATGTACCAATATTGTGTCTTTAGTACTGTGATATATCACTAAGGATGTACCAATATTGTGTTCTTATTACTGTGATATATGACTAAGCAGGTATCAATATTGTGTCTCTAGTACTGTGATATATGACTAAAGATGTACCAATATAGTGTCTTTTGTACTGTGATATATCACTAAGGATGTACAAATATTGTGTCTCTAGTACTGTAATATATCACTAAGCATGTACCAATATTGTGTCTCTAGTACTGTGATATGTCACTAAGCATGTACCAATATTGTGTCTCTAGTACTGTGATATATCACTAAGGATGTACTAATATTGTGTCTCTCGTACTGTGATATGTCACTAAGCATGTATCAATATTGTGTCTCTAGTAATGTGATATATCACTAAGCATGTACCAATATTGTGTCTCTAGTACTGTGATATGTCACTAAGTATGTAATAATATTGCGTCTCTAATACTGTGATAAGTCACTAAAGATGTACCGGTATTGTGTCTCCAGTACTGTG